ATGACAAAATATCGTTTGAGACAGAGTATAAGCATTTCGGGAAGTTTATACTTCAGTTTTTTAGTCGTGAAGCGGGAAGCGTAGAACGATAATTGTAGGGGAACAGAATATGCAAATTTATCACTCACTCGGGTGTAAACAATTCGATATAATTGTGGAATATTCCTTGCTGGTGGCAAGTATAATTTGCTTTTAACAAAGGGTCTAGGCCAAATTCGTTCTTAAATGCAATTTCAAGCCTTTAGTCCTCTCACTGCCCGTGTAAGTTTCCGTTGTTATACATCTTTAACGAGTGAAAGTCGATAAATCCCTGGTGTGTAATATATTTTTAAATCCAAAAACATTGAGCTTATGCGGTATCTGAAAGGCTAGTTTGAGACTGAATCTGATGACAAGGCAAATTCTTGTAATATTCTTTCTTTACGAGGATAATAGAGCAATTGTCATAAAACAGAGGAGTGCCTTGTTACACCTCAATACAAAAAAAGAAATTGGTTGATTGTAAGTATTTTTCAAGCGGAATCAAATCATATTCACGAAAATTCCCATAATTTTATGATATTCGGTCTCGAAATAAACTGAAAGAACCATGTTCTTCTGTAAGCCACTATCATCAGAAATCATTACTGACACTGAAACAAACCAGCGTTTGTTAACTTTTTTTTTGCGATGTAAAGTTTGCAAATTGGCAAGATAAAGTGAACTAACGAGCTTCCTTCAACACTCATGACGTTCGTGAAAATTTCCGGAATTCTCAGGCCCTTTCTTTTCATGCATGTAAAGCTCTATAATGTTTTTGCGTGATGATTTCTATGCCATTTATCTTAGTCAATATCTGTGGGGGGCTTTAAAATTGGTGTCTTTCACTGTCGGTCATGAACTCTGTCTAAATAGACTAAGAACGTTGCGCAATAGTTCGCAATAGTATGTTGTTCAAATCTTTTCTATAACCATGCAAGGTTAGCAGGTATATATTTTTTTCAATGCCAATATTTGGTTCTGTACAGCTTTTTTGAAAACGCTTGAGGTTCTGATAGATATGGCTTAAAAATAATCGTAATTAACTGAAAACGGCCGAGTAATAAACATGGTGCAATCAAACTCTAACAAACTGCGTTTGTTTGAAAAGAGAATTGCATTAATGTGAAGAAATTTGTCGACGCCATGCATTTTCACGCCGACATTATTTCATCAAAAGGATGGCCATTATCATTAATTTTTCGTTGGAATAACGAAAAAAACGTTTTTGTTTCAAAAGTCAAGAAACAAGAAACTATTTAATATAGAAAAAGGGAGAGGGGGATTTTGCTGTTGCTTGGCCCATGAAAATTACAGACTCTAACCTGTGAAAGAAGAAAGGATATTTATTCCTAAAATTCTTCTTAGTTGCGGCCGTGTTCAAGTTTAAGCTTAAAATATAACATAAATGAGAAAAAGATTGGCATGTCTACATGATTTTACTGAGAAAAAATTCGATATAATTGTGGAATATTCCTTGCTGGTGGCAAGTATAATTTGCTTTTAACAAAGGGTCTAGGCCAAATTCGTTCTTAAATGCAAAAATTTCATTAATTTATGGCCTGCTCCCAGTTGGCTTGTTAGCTCAATTGGTAGAGCGCTGCACTAGTATCGCAGAGGTCAGTGGTTCGACGATCGTGCATCATACGTATCTAATACCGCAGTTCAAAATATATGAACTTCATATATTTCATTATATCTGATTGAAGAATATTGTTATCCTTATTATTAACACTATTGTTATTTTCGTTCTTATTGTTCTTTTATCACCATCATGATAATTTTCTATCTCCTAAAACAGCCTGGGAACGTAGACTCATCTGCGGTTTTCGATTCTCAGGAGCGAAGAAAGGCGACAACCGGAGTTCGTAGGCTAACCCTTCTTGAAAAGATTCAAGAAGCCAAGAATATTTTTTTTCTCCACCATTTTTTCCAGGGGTAAGCAACCAACCAGCTAACAACTGAATTCACTAACCGACTGACTAAGTAACTAACCGGCCAAATAAACAAACAGATACGCGGATAGACTGATGAATGTGTAAATGCTCCTTACGTGTTTCCCATCGATACTAAAATCTAGCCAACCGAAGAATAAGACTAATGAGAACCCGGCAGAATAGTACAGAATAAGCTCAGAATGAAATTGACTAAAGAAAACATTCGTATCATGCAAACTTCAAGGAACCAGTGAACTTGACCTTAGGGAATCACACTTAGGGTCAAGGCTAGCCGTTCTCTTTTATGCGGCTAGCAGGAAAAACGAGAACCGGGACCGAGAGCTGTGCATTGACATTAATAGATCGTGTTAGCAAAATTTTGGACATAATTTGAAAAAACTAGCATGAATTTTCCCGTTTTGCAAAAAGTAGCACTGCTTGTACACGGCAGCTTTCAAAGCTGCGAGAGTAATGTGCCCTGTGACCATTTGCTGGTTGAAGCCAACACAAGCTACCGGCTTGATCGCGATCTCCGCGGGGACAATCTGTGGTGAACTGGACTTCTTTCATTTTCTTTCTCGTGTTCTTTGTTCTTCAGATGTACCTAAATCCCAAATTAGATAAAATATCGTCTTCATAAAAGCTGGGAGCGAGGGGGGTAAAGCGGGAATGGGCGAGGGAAGGGGGAAGAGGAGCCTGGGCAAGAAAAAGGAAAGGACACTTTTAAGTTACAGTCCGTCGTAAGGCAGTAAGGTTTTTACCAATGATTACTAGTAATCGCCTGCTGTCAAAGGGACTGATAGAAAAAGATCGATAAGAGGTCAATTCAGAGATCAGATCAAATAAAACAATCGGCTCTCGGTTTTTCCCAGCATAATAGCACGATCAGAGCTGTGGACATTTTTTCCGATCAACAGAGGAAGGGAAGTCTTTGACGCCAGAGCGAATTTCCCTGGAGATTTCGCGCATGGGGAAAGATTTTGATGACTCTTATCAATTATTGATTTATGAAGTGGAAATATTTCTCTCGCTTATATACCCTTTTTTGCTTTTGTTTTGCGTTTTTCACAAGATACTAATGCAAAAATCAGAGACCAAAGAAAAAAACTAATTGTGAAGAAGAGACTAACTTAGCTATCCGCCAACAAGGAAAAACTAAAAGTTCACGAACTACTAACGTAACAATCAGACAAAAAGGAAAACTAAAAGTTGCGTGATTTTTATGAAACAACAAGGAGAACTAAAAGTGCACAAGATATAGACGTAACGACCGGAAAACAAGAAAAACTTGACGCGTAAAATCCGACGCTAAGGGAAATTAACCGAGTACTGATGAGGTATCACAATTGCCAGCTTTTTTTTAAACAACGCAACATGCTGTCTAGCCGTCTTTGTATCTTGCCTTTTGGCATCAGGAGATAGCTGTCACTTCTGAAACCGGTTTAATGCCTCGGCAGCCAGAGTTTCAGTTCCAGTGTCTTCATCGTCTGAGCTACCGTCAGAATCGAACCCTTCGCCATAGGTTGTAGTACACTCCTTTTCTTTCCTTTTTTTTTTTTTTCTTTTTATAAGAACCTTTTTCATAAGAACGTCGAGGCTGAGATTAACCATAATTTAAATAATGTATTAAGAGCATTCCTCAGGCTGAGAGCCGATTGAGACCGTGTTAATTTTGCTAATCTGTGTATTAAACGACAAGCAAAAAGTCAAGGTAACACTGAAATGTAAATTAACCAAGATACTTAAGGGAATGTTTTGTACAACATTAACGACGGTGACACACATCTCAGTTTGTCGTAATCAGCAGTTCTTATTTATAACTGTTCCAAAATGACTTCCACACCATCAAAGTCATCAGGCGACACAAAGTCTGAAGTATTATCAAGATAGTTGATCTTTTAGTTGGTATACAAGAACATCTTAAGAACGTTTTCAGCCTCAAATCCCGAAAAAATATGAGAACTTTCAGCCTCAAAGCCAAGTTTAGATTTTCTTATTAAAAAAAGAGTGTACGGGTTTCGCCATCGGCTAACTCGTCTATATTAAATTGGACTAGATCTGCATCCTCAGTATTATCAGCGCCTCTTCCAAAGTCTTGTGACATTGAACTTGCTTGACTTTCATCGCGGTTCTTTCTTCTTTCTTCTTGTTGCTTTTTTTTTTCTTGGTTGCCCCCCCTCTTCTCCCACTTCTTGTACGTTCTAACCCTAAGCTGATATTACAAGAGTGCCTTTTTATTTTATTCAGGTGCATTACACTTTGTAAACGACACTTTATCAATTTCAAATTCTTTAGCAACCATTACGCTTTCAAATGGGGAACTACATGAAAAATAAGCGAGAAAAAAACACCAAACTGATCGATGTTTAAAACTGGAATCTTTATAAGAGGAGGATCACTTATTCGGTCCTAACATGGACTACACCTGTTGATAAGTTAAGAGGGCATTTGTGCGACACACTGTTTTGAGATCTGTATTTAATACTATTGCCTGTTTTCATTTGGTTGCCAAGACAAATAGTAACTGAAAAATGCCATGATTATTTTGTTTCTTTGGCAAAATCAACTTTGTAGTCGTGTTTCTATTCCAAAACGCTTCGTTTCGGGCTACAAAAGCCTTTATTTCTTTAATTTAAAAAAAATAAATAAAGTCAATGTAGTTTTTTATTGTTTTTTTTTTTTTATTGGTTATTGGTTTGGGAAATCTTAAGACAACAGAAAGTAAATTCCAGTTGATAGCCACTTAATTAAGAAAAGTATTATGAATCAGCTCTATTGAAATTTAAACAACACGCCCGATAACTACAGCAGGATTGGCTTCATTTCCGATTCACAGAAAAGAGGTTCCTACAGCGAAAGGCCATTGATTTGTTCCATATGTCCAACGACATTATTTAACTAGAATTTTACTTTTCTTTCTTATTCCGAGACTTGGTGGTGGCCGATGCGTAACAAAGTATTCATACTGGTCAAGACAATGAGCATTGTAAATAAACGTCTGTCTAGGAATTTTGTTACCGCCAGATCAGACAAAACAGCAAATTTTGCACACGAGTTTCTTCTGAGCACATCTACTGTATCACTCTTTCTCCGGCAGAGAAGCTTTGGACGAGGGAGATGGGGCAGCTAGGATATATCTGTGTATATCTTTAAACTTTAATTTGTTTCCAAACGTCCGATCGATGGGGTAAGTTCTAGTATCTCTATCATACTTTAATTTGTTTCCAAACGTCCGATCGATGGGGTGTGAAACTCATTTGTTGACCAATTATGGCGTCTCGCAATTTCGTTTTCTCATTTGTTTTCACATCATAACCTTTTTCCACAAGCTTATTGTATGCTGCCTCTGATCAGCTACGAATAACTTAAGGATACTTAACCATTCTTTAGAAATTTCCATAAATCATGTTTTTCTACCGCCTACTTTTCTACAAACGTTTAGTACGAAAGAGACAACAATTCTAAGAGTTCTGTTTTACATAAATGCATAACAACTTTTACTCTCTCGTGTTCAGTCGCAGCTTATCCAGCTTATCCTTCGTCGCACATCATACAAACTTTACATGAAGGCGCTGAATCTTCTTCGTTCAACCTCTAATATACCACCAACAACAGCCTTATCGACATCGCAGCGGGCTTGCTAGATATTAAATTTTTTATTGTGACCGATATAAGTCAACCAGGCATAACATTGCAATCGATCTTGGTTGGCACCAGTGGTATCATGAGTTTTTCAGTCAGATACCCGACCTAAATTTCCTGAAACCCGGCTGTGTGATATCGAAAGCAAACGATGAATTTATTAAATGGGTGCGTGTTGCTAGCGTTAGAACTCCCCGAGCCAACTACATGCTGTACTCGGATACATTTTATAACTCTGATATAGAGCAGCACTGCAAAAGTCATTTTTCTCAGCAAGACTTAAAAATGTAGACACCTTTGTCGCCTAAATTAAGATAGGTGAGATCTTTTTTCATTTCATGCTAAAGAAATCATGCTAAAGTTTATTATCTAAACATTTTTCCTTCCTTGGATGATTTATTTTCATTTTCATAACCATGGGAAGCCAACAATATTTTTACATACGTATGATCGCAGTAGAGAGCGCTATTTATGCAATAGCGAAAATCAGACCTGAAAAAAATCAGGCCTGTACGGGATTCGAACCACTGACCTCTGCGATACTACTGCAGTGTAATAAATCTTGGTCCGTTAACGAACGATCTATTTCAGAAGCGAGTTTCACGGAAACGAAACCGAAATTTCATAGAGAAGACGTTTAACTTCGAGTCCTATATCAAATAACTAGTTTCTCGGAGAAAAATTTTTGAATTCAACATGAAATTTTAATTTTCTTTTATCAGAAGCCTGGAAAAGGCTCCACGTCGAGTTTCATCACACATCCAACAGATGTTCTTGCATTACGTGTGAAATATAGATTTAGCTTCCTTACCCACGATAAGATGAGGGAATATTCTATACCGCAAGCATGGAATCTCGTCTTCAAAAGGCACTACTTCTTCCGTGACAAAATATCGTCTCTAAAAAAACATAAGCATTTCGTTACTCGAAGCGTAGAACGACCATTCTGATAGAACAGAATATGCAAATTCGTCACCCACTCGGATGTAAACAAATCGATATTATTGTGCAATATTTCTTGCCGTTCCCAGGTATATTTTATTTTTAACAAAGAGTCCAGGCCACAATGGTTTTTAAATACAATTGAAAGCCTTCAGTCCTCTCACTGCAAGCTGTCAGTATTTATATTGTTGCAGACTAAAATGAGTGACCGGCGAATTTTTTAAATGAAAGTCCGGCGAAGAGTCCCTGGTGTGTAATATATTTTTAAATCCGAAAACGTTGTGCTTATGCGGTCTCTGAAAGGCTACTTTGAGACTGAATCTGATACCAAGGCAAAATCTTGCGAGATTTTCGATCTCATTCATTCTGTACGAGGATAATAAAGCAATGGTCATAAAACAGATGACTGCCTTGCGACACCTGAATACAAAAAAAAAAAAAGTGGTTGATAACTGCTTTTCAAGGGTAATCAAATTGTATTCA